GTGGGTTAATTTTATATATATATTATATATTTATTTATTTATTTATTTATATCTTTTTATATATTTAAATAAATATATGTATATATATGTCAAAAAATCTGATTTTTGAAATGTAAAAGTTGTTTTGTTATTTTTGAAATAGGGTAAAGATAAAGTAGGGAAAGTGGATTTTTCCCTAATTAATTTTCATATTAAGGAAAATAATTTAGTCGACTTGTGATCCTTTATTTTTTTATTCAAGATTTCTATGATTTATTTATTTATGTGTTGATTTTATTATGAGTTTAATGCATTAAATTATCTGATTAATAATTTGGTGATTATGTGAGTTTCTTACGAATCCATATGTGAGTTTGAGATTTAGACCATATAATAAAATCCGATAAATTAGTATAACGTGTAGAGATACCTATACTGATTATTGCGGTCATAATTTGAATTTTTAGAACCAGTGTTTCGTTTAACTAAAATTAATTCTCATAGAGATATTGATCTAATTAGTTAAATAGGCTCAATGAGAATTCGAGATGGGTAAATTGAATACAATAGAAGAATTCGATCGAACACTACGTTAGATTATGAATCTTGAATTAAGAATAAATGTAATCAATAAATAAAATTGTTATTCTCTAATATTCATCACATATTTGAATTTTCAATTATTCATTGTTTTGCAGTCATTTTATATTTTTTATTAGTTAAAAATAGATAGGAAAAATAATTACAGTCATCATAATTATTTATTTGTTTTTATCAAATAAGAGTTAGAAAAATTGGATTAATTTCTAAGTATATTCCTTGTGGGAATGATAATTTAGACTTAAAGGTTCACTATATTACTTATTATAATATCGTACACTTACGATATAAAAAAAAACACAGCACACATAAATTTCAAGTCTTCGTTGGGGACCCAATTTAGTCCGTTGTAGGGATGAAATAGGGATTTGAACAATACAACCAAAAATCCGCAGGTCAAAAATATTAGGTTCATGACCAAATGTCAGTTGCAAAGGTGAATATTGATAATGTGCAGTTGGTCTGATACGAAGCAATGACACAGCATGTAATATGGCATGACCTCAAACAAAAGTTGAGAGTTTTGTTTTCATAAGTAATGGTCTAGCAATAAGTTGTAGATATTTAATAAATGATTCCGTTAAACCATTTTGTGTATGGACATGCGCAATCGAATGTTCAATAACGATTCCAATGGACATACAATAATCATCAAATGCTTGTAATCTAAATTCACCAGCATTATCGAGACAAATAGTCTTGATTGAGTAATCAGATAATTGCGTTAGTAATTTTATAATTTGAGCAAGTAGTCTAGCAAAAACTTCATTTCTAGTGGAGAGTAAGCAAACAAGTGATCATCTAGTAGAAGAGTCAATTGATACCATAAAATAACGAAATGGTCCACATGGTAGATGTATTGACCCACACATATCTCCATGAATCATTTCCAAGAAAGTTGAAGATTCAATATTGACATTCGTAGTCGAATATCCAATGACTAACTTGCCTTGCGAACAAGCCACACATGAATAATCATTAGGTAAAATAATCTTCTGATTCTTTAAAGGATGTCCATGTGAGTTTTGTATTATTCGACGCATCATTATAGCTCCTGAATATCCAAGTCGATCATGCCAAAGTATAATTTGTTTTGGATTAAGGAAGAAGAATTGGTAATAAACATAAAACCATACATTCTGGTTCTATATTTGTTCGAATAAAATGCTTAGCCAATTCCATGCGTCTAACTAAAAAATCATTTCTTCTCCCAAACTTTCGATCTTCCCATTCATTTCACATGGGTCATTCTTCCCCTAATTCTTTCCATTCTACAAACGAATTATCTAGAGTAATTCGTAAATCTAGATCGGTTAATTGTTCTCGGATAGCGAACTTCTGGTTAAAACTCAAATGTGTATTTTATTGAGAATCAAAATCAGTATTTATAGAGTCTAAAATAAGAGTTACAATTGGAATGAAATAGACTCTCTGAATTATATAAGACTTAACTATATATTATGATAATACTAAATAATCATCAATAATTATCTCATTATTTTACAACAATATACGCCACATTCATTTTCTTCTCCATTATTACCCTCGATTCTCTCACTCACCCTCACCGCCACAGCCACAAAAACTCCTTTTCATCATGGTAATATGAACCTTGTTAATTGATAAGGTAGAAACCACAAAAGGTCGCTTTGGCTTTCTGTCATAAGGATATGACTGTGCCCCTGCTCCACTTTTTTTCCCCAAATGCTTCTTCTTCCCGATGGCTTTCATTCTTTGCTTCTGAGTCAGAGCATCCACTGCAAGTGAATTTGATTGAACCATGGTTGGCCAAAAGGGGATACTGGATCGAACCCCATGGTCTCGAGACTCAATCCTCCTATTGAAAAAAAAAAAAAATACTTGAAATTGTAGTGACCTAAATAAATATTGCGATGGCAATATAATTAACCTTATTTTATTGGTAAATGTAAAGGTCTACAAAAAATATATACCAACACGTACGTTTTCGGTGCCCTCGCGCCACCCTTGGTGCTGGCAGAATTCCTGCAGATTCTCACCCTCTTTTGCCCCATTTTAGAATTGACATCTTGCAAGTGTGCAAGAAGAAGCCTAATTTGTACCTTGTAAAGATTGAGCGAGAGTTTATTGAATTCCTATGAATTGTTTATATTGTGTTCCATATTTTTAATTTTTAATTGGATTATGAACGTGTTGTTACTTGTATCTTCATTGATACATCGTCTATTATTAATTTATATATTAAGACAATTTTGGATTGCTATTTTATATTTTCACCTCTAATTATACGTGACATGACATGCCTTGTCCCGTGATAGAATTAATCAAAATGGTAAAACAAAACATCTATTTTCACCTAAATCTGAAAATCCAACAATTTTTTGCATTAACGTTAAAATTTCTCTAATTCCATTCATCTGGTTTATTGTTATTAGACGATTTATTATTTCAATTTAGTTTATGAACTCAAATTGAAATCTACAAATTATCTCGAATGTGTAAAGATTTTCATTAAATTACTCAACATACTTCTCTTTTTATATATAAAACCATATCCTAAAAATATTGTTCAATTTTCGATCACGTGATCATATTTTTCTCGAGAATGACAAAAATATTTTTTTTATTTAGGAAATGATATATTTTTATTTTCCAATCAATTCAAACTACCCAAAAATTCACTTCATCCACTCATCTAAGAGTTAAATGTTTCATTGGCCATGGTACTTTATACATCGTCACTACTTCCCCATCACTGAACTTCACTAAGCTTCCCAGTGGCCACTGAACTTAACTTCGTTGTGCTAAAATGGCCATAAGATGGATTCCATCTGATCTTGTGTATACGTGGATGACGGAAATGTGAAGTAACAGTTAAAATTGTCCACATTTTAAGTTTGTTGTACACGTGAATGCCAAATCACCCAAACAAACCTTAACCCATATAATATAAACATGTAACTCATGAAATCAAAACACCTTCAAACCTTTCAACCCGAATCGCAAAGGAAAAACCTAACCCTCAAATCAAATTTCGAACTTTTCTGCAAATTGAACCCAAAATCCGTCGTACAGAAGCTGAAAACACGAGAACGATAATCGCAAATCAAAACCCTAACCTCGAAATCAATTTCGAACCTCCATCAACGGCCTCCCAAAATCTGACTTACGAGTTGAGAGTTTTTTGATTGCATTAGAGAAGGCGAGCACATGGATGTTGGAAATGAAGGTAAATTCTTGTCTGCGTTAATTACTTTTATTTTCTGGAAATGCTACCGAATTAGTTACACTTGGGATAAAAATTGTTCATTAGTTGTAATTGTTTTGGTATGTAATGCTGAATTTGCAATAAGAGCTCTGCAGTGTTTGGCTGCAATTTATGAATTTGCGGAGACAGCAGAGAGCAATTATTTCTGGTGGTAGTACTGAAAAAAAAAAAAATTAGTTGGACACTCTGTCTCTTTTCTGTAAAATTTCTCACCATTTTCATTAGATTTTCCCAAAGCAAAATGATTTCTGGGCAATCTTTAAGCTCATCAAGTATCAATTTCTCGTTCATAAACGAATCGGAAAGAGACACCCCACAAGATTTCACGGCCATCAATGGCAGAATTTGAGAGCTCTAACTTGTGGATATGGCTAAATTCACCGTTCCAGAGCTTCCATTGCCCGGTTTAAAAACAACAGCCTTCTGTTTTATAAAAATTAAACGCAAACATGGAATGCCTTCAGTGGAAGTGGACCTTCTGTGCACGATATTGGTTGCCAATTTAACCTACCGTAAACCGATTCAAAATTGATGTTTGAAGTGGATTTGGGGTTAGGGTTCTTCTGAGCGTGATTTTGGGTTTTCCGATTTGCAGCTGAAATTAGGATGTGAAAAATGAAATGGATTTGAGGTTAGGGCTACTGTTTCTTTCTTTTTCTGGGTGAAGATGGTGTTTTGAATCTTTTGATATGAGTAAATAGAACATGTTTTTAATTTTACTGTAGGTAAGGGTTCGTTTGGATGATTTGGTAGCCAGTGTGCAAGTCACTTAAAATGTGGACAATTTTGACTGACAATTCACCTTTTCGTCGTCCACGTAGACACAAGAACAAACGGAATCCATACAATGGTCATTTTAGTGCAACGGAGCTAAGTTCAGTGACCATTGGGAAGCTTGGTAAAGTTCGGTGTAAAGTACAACCACCAATGAAACATTTAATTCCCTCATCTACACACCGCTTACTTTACCCTCTCTGTACCCACCAACAATAGTTACCCCCTTATCTGCACACAAAAACTACTCAGCAGAACTGCAGACGAACCACTCTCTCATCTACTACACAAAAAAAGAAACAATAGAACTGCAGAAGAACTAGAGACCCCAAACGAATCGGTGCTTTCCATACCCATCTCCGGGTTATTCACTGGAAAAGATCGGCAAAAAGGCTTTGGTCGAATCGATTAAGGTTTGTTTAACAAACAAACCCGCCTTGATTGATTTGTACATGTTAATTATATGAGCATGAGTCCCCGTCCATGTTAATCGAATGGGTTTTGAGTTTTATGTATGGCTCCGACGCGTAAAAATTTAAAACAGTATCTTATCTCGTTCTTGCTGTTGTACAAAACCTATTCAATTTTTGGTCCTAGGGTTCGTTTTATAAATTGGATTTTAACGTAAGCGTTTGTTTGACATGTAAAGAGAGGTGCGGGTTTCAACAGATCAAATTGGATTTTAACGTAAAGTGTTTGTTTTGTACTATTTTGATCTATTTTCCATTTCCATGAAAATCATGAAAAATCTTCTAATACTGAAGCCCTTTTGATGTTTCAAGATTTGTCCAAGAATTATTTTGTACAAGATCTAGATACTTATGGAGTAATGCTTTGTCAATTTAAGTTGATTAAATGGCAAACTGGATATGATCCACCAGACTTTGCAAATCGGTGTGAATCAAAAAAAAAAAAAATTATGAATGAACTGCAGCTGTGCGAAACTTGAAATTTTTTTTTTTTTTTTATAGGTAATCGAATAATTTTATTAATTAAAAAAGAATACACAGGAAGTGTATTTTCAACTTAAACAAGAAAGAAAAGACATGAAGTTAGGCAGCCCCTCTATAGGATTACTAGTTGCTGCATTAAACCAACTATGCAAAGTCAGAAAAAAGAATTCTATAAATTGCTTTGTAGTCCGTGTTTGGTCTTCAAAACAATGATTGTTCATTTCCTCCACACACCAAATAATGCATCCTGGTATAAGATTCCAAACAAGCTTGTTATCCTTATCACGAAACTTTCTCCTCCATGTCCACAGCACGTCCTCAATACATCTAGGCAACATCCAATCTATATGTTGAGAAGCCAAAATATTATTCCACAGCCAACGAACACCATCACAGTGAATGAACAAGTGGTCATGTGTCTCCCCATCACTCTTACACGTATAGCACTACTCGGTTACATAGAAACCTTTCCTTCGGAGATTATTTATCGTTAATGCTTATCCTCTGACAATCGTCCATAGTAAGAAAGTCACCCGTGGAGGCAATTTACATTGCTACACCATCTTCCAGGGGAATGAACTCTCCACGGGTCTCAAGAGGGATCTAAAATAAGAGTGAACTGAAAAAACACAATTCCGTGCCAACCGTCATCGGCTACGATCTTCCTCCCCAACCCAAAGTTTCACATCATACAAATGGTTTAAAAACAATACATAATCATCCAATTATCAATCATACAAGCCCCTCTGAAAGGTAATATTCCAACTATAACTCCTATTGTGGATGACTAAAACATCCTGCACCACAACAAAAGACACCAGAGAAATGCGATACAAGGAAACCTCACCTTTAGCGGTATATCACCACACCAACAGTCCTCCCAAAAGCTGATATTGTTACCATTCCCAACCACGAAAGTCAATATGTCCCAAAGGTCACTCCAACCTCATCGAATATACCTCCACAAGCTCACCCCATAGGAGCCATGGCCTTCACCCGAACACCAACCCCCCTCCATCACTCTATTCTTCTCCCCAATGACTTCTTTCCAAAAGTTCTCCCTTTCCACTCCAAATCGCCACAGCCATTTACCCAATAATGCCTTGTTAAACAAAATGAGCCTCCTCAATCCGAGGCCCCCCATCCTCATAGAAGAGCAAACAGCATCCTAAATTACCAAATGGAGTCTCCTCTCCCAACCTTGCCCACAGAAATTCCCTTTGAATCCTCTCCAATCTATTTTCCACGGTAATAGGAATCGGAAACAGTGACAAAAAATAATTAGGGATATTCGAAAGAGTAGACTTAATGAGAGTAAGACGGCCTCCCTTCGAAAGATATATATGCTTCCATCCCGCTAACCTCCTTTCCACATTTTCCACGATAGTGTTTCAGATTAATACTTTTAAACTGTGCCCCTAAAGGGAGTCCTAGATATGACATAGGTAATTGCGCTACCCTACAACCTAAAATAGTAGCTAGTTCCTCCACGTTGGTGACCTCCCCTCACTGGAATAATCTCATATTTTCCGTGATTTATCTTCAATCCAAACACCGCTTCGAAGCAAAGGAGTAATCGTTGTAAGTTCTTGAATTGCTCCCCGTCTACGTCACATAAAATCAGCGTGTCATCTGCAAATAACAAGTGGGAGACTGCAGTTGATCAACCGTAAAACCCTTTATCAAATTCTCCTGCCTCGCTTTCTCAAGCATCCTACTGAAGGCCTCCATGACAATCACAAACAGCAATGGAGATAATGGATTCCCTCGCCTTAACACTCTGCTACTCCAAAAATCACCCTCAGGGGTACCGTTGACCAGAACAGAGAATGACACAGTAGAGATGCAAAACTGAATATTATCAATTATGTGGAGCCTATATTTTAGCTGGGGATAAGGAAAATAAGAGGAAAAGAAAAAAATATTGTGTCCCATGCTTGATGTTGGTCAAAATTTCGTTGTGAAAAAAATAACTGTTGGTCATAATATCAATTTGTAAGTTCATGTTGTTTAACAATACTCATTCAGTCAATGATGTAGTTGAGAGGTTGGTCTCACTTCTTATTAACCGGGACCTTAAATTTGGTTTACACACTCTCCAAAGATATACCTGGAGAATTTAGAGAACAGCTGAGGGATACACATCTGACTAATAACTCTGATGCTTTTAAAACCATATTGATTGCCCCAATCTGTCAACTTGATCTGCCTAATGATGTTAATTCTTTTCACCTCCAAAGATAATGGACAAGGTTTTGAAACTACCAGTAAGTTATTTCTAAACCATGGGGAACTCAGTAGGAACATAGAAATAGCAGCTATGACATGGTATAACTTGGTTTCTCCGACGTATATGGGACCACAGAAGATGTTTTGTCAATGCGTTAAAACAGAAATCTTATCAAGAGTAAGAAGGAAAATTCACATTGAATTAAAAATAGTTTCGAGAAACAAATTTCGTATATTAATTATTGGCAGCTATTTTTCGATAATGCCTAATGTATCTAGCACTTAGTATTGTTCTCATTCGATTCTTCTCTCTCACCGCTTGATTTACTCTCCAGTCTAATATAATTTTCGAATTATATCTGTTTTATCATGGTTCCTTTGACAGGCATCCTTGACATAACCTGCAGATGTACATTGACTTGCTGTCTTGGTATGCAGATTCACATTATTTACTCGGATTTTGTGGACAACCATTTTATGCCAATTCCCTTTTGTTTTTTGAACATTATGAAATGAACATCTTTTATTTCTTACGTTTTCTATTGGAAAGATGCAGATTTTAAAGCTCTCGTAATCTCTGTGTTCTGCTTTCCACATGAAACCTTATTGCCTTTTTCTGCTTCATGCTTAAACTACAGAGTCTGTTAGAATGGAACCTGGCATTGGTAGGAGGTCTTCTCCAACCCAATCTAAATGGAGAAAAGTTGCTTATGGAGGGATGCAGCCTGGATTTGAAGACAACCACACTGACGAGTCTTTCCTAGAAGATATGATTATGAATGCCAGTGTTGTTAAAAGGGACTTCCTAAAGGTGATGCTAGACTCAGTTTCCATCTCTCAGTACGTGTGCATTGTTGCTCTTGTGGTCCTGGCCTGGACCTACACCCTTAGATCTACCTTCAATGAAAACTCTCTCATGCTTCTTGATGTTATCCTTCTTGGGGCAGGATTCTTTGTTATTCTATTAACTGCCGAAATGCTATCTTTTGATCTTCTCCTCAGTTATATTCTTAAAATCTTCTTTTTTATAACTGGTTTATATGTCTTGTCTCCTATTTACCACACATTGACCCGATCCATAAGCTCGGATTCCATCTGGGCATTAACAGCTTCGCTTCTCGTACTCCATCTCTTTCTGCATGACTACTCTGGTTCCACTGTGAAAGCTCCTGGAGCTCTAGAAAATCCAACCTTTACTAGAAACATCTCCCTTAATGCTTCTATCGTGGCTTCACTTTTAATTGCATCTCGCCTTCCATCAAGGCTTCATGTTTTTGCTATTGTGCTATTCTCCTTGCAAGTTTTCCTATTTGCTCCATTGGTCAGTTATTGTATAAAGAAATGCTCTTTTCGGTTGCATCTATGTTTTTCTTTCGGGTTAATGGCTGCAACACTGTTTTTCGTTTATAGGTTGCATGCATTACTTTTTGTGTTATTGTCGGGTGTTTTGGTTTTTGTAAATTTAGTGGGTCCTTATTGGCTCATTAGGATTCAAGAGTACAAGTTTGAGATCAATGGACCCTGGGATGAGGCTAAACTCTGTTTTAACATAACAGAATGAAACTTTCATTTGTTGTGGCATCTTGAAATGTTGAGATGGAAAAAATTTTGTACACCTTCATGGTTTTCAAGTTTTGCGTACTGATTTTCTGCTCGAATCTGTGGGTAGCATCTGAAGAAATACCTATGTTAGACCTTATTGTTCTTTTGAAGATGTAACTTTTGTTGATTTGTTTAGAAAACTCGTAGTCAGCTTTTTATAATTATTTTTAGGTGTTTTAGTGTGAGGCTGTTACTTGATCTAATGCAAGGATTTATCTCAAATGTTTTATGGTTTGCCACCTTGGAAGGGTGGATTGGGATTTATCTAGTCGGCACCTTGCTATATGCCTATATCCATGGTGAAAGTTTATGTTTATCTAGTAAAAAAGCAATAGTAAGAGACTGTTTCTGGGTCTATGAAAGATGAGGGATGCAATGTAGATCAAGGTGGCAGCTGAAACAAAATTGAATTTCCCTTGCAGAATTAGAGCTAATTGTAAAATTATTTGCTGGTCATATTCTTAAAAAGTCATCGAAAATGTTGTGGTCATGTTGATAGTTGTTAAATTGGTCTTTATCTACCTCATCTGAAAACCCATTCGCGTTCGATAGGTAAAACGTTTTATGGCATTCGACAATCATCATTTGAGTGAGACAATTTCTGGATTTAAGAGCAGCACTGTTGTTCTCAGCAGTTGACATGATCCAGTCAATCTCTGATGCCACATGCTGGATCAGGCTCTAACCATTATATCTTACCTGAAAGAGATTTAAGGTTAAAGCCCAATCCTGCAATATTGATGGTTGGTTGGAAAGATCTTTAACTTACTAATTATGTATTCAAAGCAGTTATTGACAAAATGCTCGAAAACCCAATTAATGTCAATAATTCAAAGACCATAATAATGTGTTTTGACAGTATAATATGAGGCCGGGGGGAAATTGATTTGGCTGAATCTGACTGCTCTTGCATTTATGTTTAACATTTTTGTATTGAATTTTGTTGCTCTTTTAGGTTTATGTGAATACATCTTCTTTTATGAATGGTTACAAAATTAGTTTATGTAATTCGGAAATTTTGAAAATGAAGAGTTTCCTCTGGGTATGCTCTATCAGTCTATCCCGATTCCTCTAGTTGGAGTTTCGGACTTCTAGTAGGAGAATCCCTTTGCTACAGTTGTCTTAAAGGCACCTACAAACTCATAAGGAACACGTATATGGCCTGTCTCAGGACCAACAGGGCAATTTCCAAGGGCATCATGTATCACCAAAACAAGTTGAGATTTGCTGTTCAATTTTATGTTGTCTATCCAATTAATTATTGATACGTCATTTTAAATTAAAATGTCATCAATTTGGTAGGTTAATGGTAACGTTAATAAGGGTATATTTGAGATGACATGTTAATTTAAAAATGATGTGTCAATAATTAATTAAGTTAATAGCAAATATTAGACAGTGAAAATTGGACAGTAGATCTCAACACCACCAAAACATCGCAATCTTAGAAACGTAAAGACAACATTTGAAAGACTTGTAGTGGCCAAATAAATTAGAACGAAGTGAGTAATAAGCTAAAGCTAAAAAAGAATTGTGATTATATATACGAGATCTAAAACTAAAATCTTGAAAGAGCCCCCAGCAGCAAATTAGCCTTCAAAAGCATGATAAGAACACGCTAACTATAGAAACAAATTAATGCACTCGAAATCTGGGCAATGAGTTGCAACTTAAAGAGAATTATAAGCTAGAATTTCTAGTGATTATTGTTTTCTCCTTGCACCCACCACATCTGAATTCTTTAGTGTTGGCCAGTGGAGCTCATCCTCGCGCACTTTCTGTTCGATTTTTAATTCTGCATTTATCTTGCATCACTGGTCATTTTTTTGGGTCCACGCTCAGGGCAATTTATAAGTGCAATTCTAACTCGAGTTTCCTTGCTTTTCCTAAAACTTGAAATAATCTCACTTTTATGTTTTCCGATAGCAAGTCCAAGAGTGGCTCTTTTGAGCATAAGAAAAATAAATAAATAAAATTGCTAGATGTACATTCTTTCTATACATCAAATCTGACATTCTTCATGTGTCAAAATCATGTGGATTTTTTCTTAATGACAATTATATTGTCATCGCAATTTTGTTTGGTTCATCACATTTTCAAGTATTTTTTATTTATTAACATGATCCTAAGTAAAATGACATAAATAATCACACTTATCACACTTTTAATAGATATATATATATATACAGAAATGATCTAATGAGCACCGGTGCTCATCTTATCCTAAGCACCGATGAGTTGGCACATTAATTCATTGGTGGATAAAGATTTTGTGAGTTCCAATCCACCAATGAATTAATGTGCCAACTCATTGGTGTTTAGGATAAGATGAGCACCGGTGCTCATTAGATCATTTCTGTATATATA